GCATTACTAGCAGCCCGTTTAGGTTCTGGAGTGAAAAAAATTGCTCGATCAAAAGAAATCCTCGAGAATATTTTATTGGACTGATGCCAAAATAGTGCTATGCTGGATTAAAGGTACCAGTACCAAATGGAAATCTTTCATCGCCAACAGAGTTAACGAGATTAGGAAGTTAACACAGCCGACAGAGTGGTTCTATTGTTCCAACAAAAGAGAACCCAGCAGATGTTATGACGCGTGGTGTTCAAATTGACTTTCTTGTGAACTGTTCCAAATGGTGGTCATGCTGTGACTTTTTAACATGCTCAGAGATTCCTCATCACGACTTATCATTTGAGGTAGTTGAAGAAGTGTGTCCAAATGAACTTAAAAAGGACAATGAACTGCATAACGATTCTAACTTAGTTTTAATTGCATGTAATGAAGCAAACCTCTTTAATGATATTCTTAATTTGTCTTCTAATTATACTAAACTTATTCGTATTGTAAGTTTCATTTTCAGGTTTATCCATAATCTTAAGAACCCTCAGGTAAGGAAGTACGGAGTACTTACTTTAGAAGAGATAAAGGATGCTGAGGTGTATATTTTATTAGAGGCCCAAAAAAGTGAGTTTAAAGACGAAATAAATCAATTAAAAAGAGGTAAGTGTGTAAACCTCAAAAGTAAATTAGCATCACTGAATGTGTTTCTTGATAACATGGGGCTAATTAGAGTGGGCGGACGATTGTCCTATTCGGACCTACCCGCTAATAGTAAACACCCTATAGTTTTACCTAGTAAACATCGTTTAACTACTATTATTTTAGAGCATTTTCATTTGAAGTACTTTCATTTAGGATCACAATCACTGTTACATCAGGTAAGACAAAGGTTCTGGCCACTCAATGGCAGAAATAATTGTAGAAAGATCATCTACAGATGCGTGACATGTTTTAAAAACAAACCCATCACAGTTCAACAAATAATGACCGAGTTGCCCAAAGAGCGCGTCACACCATCATACCCATTTAACATAACTGGTGTTGATTTCTGCGGCCCATTTGCAATAAAGTTTAAGAATCAACGTAAGGGAGTTTTGAACAAAATTTATGTCGTAGTATATGTATGTATGAGTACAAAAGCCATACACTTAGACTTTGTGACAGACCAAACTAGCCAATCTTTTATTTCGAGCTTAAAACGTTTTTTCTCTAGAAGGAGAAAATGTACTAGAATAATGAGTGATAATTCTAAAACCTTTATTGGTACTAGTGTAGAACTAAAAAAATTGCAAAAATTGGTTGAGTGTCCAGATGAGAATTTAGCGAGTTTTTATACCACTGAAGGTATAGAGTGGAAATTTATTCCTCCAAAATTGCCAAATTTCGACGGAATTTGGGAGGCAGGGGTTAAATCATTTAAGAGTCATTTGAAGAGAGTTATTGGTAATCAGTGTTTAACTTTAGAAGAATTTTTAACTGTTTTAACTGAAATTGAAGGAGTATTGAACTCAAGACCTCTTACTCCAATTTCAGCTGATTATAATAATTTTGAAACTTTGACCCCAGGTCACATTTTGGTTGGTAGAATAAGAGTAGTAACTGTAAGATTGCATAATCAGCATTTGCTGAAACGAAATGTTCGAGATATATGTATACTTCCTGTAGAATGATGGTTTATTTCTATTATAAACTGGTATTTGTTGTAATGATTTGAATGTATATTTTCAATATTGTGATTTGTTATTGTGAAGTAATTTATTGTAGTGCCTTTATATTTACATTTATTTACATAATAGTCTTGAAATTTTTAATTTCAACGCCGGGAGTGTTTTGTATTAGCTGAGAAATGCTTGGCGCCAGAGCGGAATGTTGGCTAATGGCGCATGCGCCGCCGGAATTGGCGTTGAAATGTATTCTGTGAGAAACTTGATTATTTACTTTTATAAACTTGATTCGAAGTTGCGATTTATATGTTACGCTGTAAGGTGGAGCCTAGCGCCTGAGTGTCGCTTTGGAAAATAAATGTATTTAAACTGTATGAGTTATTTTATTACGATATACAGCTATCGACGGGAAATAGAATAAGTCATTTCACCCTTGATGATGATGCTCTGATAAGAAGGTGCTAGCAGTTCGATGAAAGTTACTTTCTTCAAGTCATAAATTTAACTTCATACTGATGCCGACTTCACAAGGGTGCTTTATACCTCGGTAGCCTCGGCAAATAGTATCCCACTCGTATAAAGTGCCGATATCTTTGCAATGGAGTTTTCTTAAGGCAAAAATCTTCATAAAGGTACGGCACTTCGGTGGAAGCTGCTTTCCCCATGTTTTAAATGGAACTTTATAAAGGTGCGTGCATCTTTATGCATTCGTTAAATATTAATTAGAATAAAGACCTTTTCATGGGAGTCCCAGCTTCTTGATGAAGATTGAAGAGTGCATTATTCGTAGTGTAAATTGAATTTAATAATGGTCTCGGGCACTCCGTATGTCTTGATGAACAATGTTTAACTTGTAAAAGTTGACAGCACCTTCATTCAAGACGGCGACTGTTCACTTAGATGTTCAAAGGAATGTCCGGGAGTCTTGAAGAAGGCTGCATTCTTCATGGTATAAACTGAAATTTCTTGGGTGACGTCACATTTATTGAATTCGATAATTATTCATTTAGATTTTCACATTTCACTCGACTATTTGATGAAAGTTGCATTTTTCATGGTAAAGGCACTCTTTGTATGGGGGCCAGGTATTCCTTTTTTTGAAGAACAATGGCTAACTTTCAAAAAGTGCCAGCACCTTTGTTAAAGTCCGGAAAGAAATGCCCAGAATCTTAGTCAAGGTTGCATTCTTCATAATGTATTAACGTTATTCTTCATAACGTAACTTGACAAAGCTGCTGGTACTTCTACGTCTTAATGCTGAGGCATCCTTTGGCGAACAGTGGTCATGTATAAAGACATCGGCACAATTAAGAAAAATTGCCCGCGGCAGTCAAATCTCTCCCACTCGCAATTGATCTATACACGCTTTTTGAATCTCGGATTAATCATCGTTTCCCATTTTTTTACTTTTACGAGTGCTTTCTAGCCTGTCTTTATCGGGTGCGCCTGGCTGATTCTTCTTTCCCTTCCTTACGTGATTATTTTTAACGCTGAACATTGAGATGCGAGCACTGAGAAATTATAGTAACATGTGCAAAAATCCTGGACAACTCGTGAACTAATCGCTTCTCCAAATTTGGAACCCGGGCTCTTCGTACGGCAGTCAGCCACATTAACCACTATCCCCTCTGGGCGACCAACTACATATTAAATTCTAAACTGATAGTTACTTTAGATAATTTCATGTGTCGATTAACCCTTAAGTAACATACTTAAGCCAGAAAACCAAAAGCATTAGAATACTGAAGCTTCTCTGGCTGTCGGTTGGCAAACCAAATTTTCTAATTGTATGTGAGAAATCCGTGTACGCCATATCCTACGTATACAAGGATAGAGTGACAAAGTCTCAGCCTGTTCGTGCTATCTTTTTTTTTTTTTTTTCCTTAAACAGAAGTCGACAACCAGTGCATATCTCCTAACAATAAGGACCTGAGTGTCAATAAATTTATAATCTAAACGTACTTGTGAACTTAATGTTGCTTCAAAAGTCGCATAGGATCCACGGGCCGCGAGTTCGGCCAATGCTCTGGGATATTCTTCCTTTAAAAATAATTACAATAATCTTGTTGTCATTCACTTTTCAGCTTAAAAAGGGTGGTTAGTCTGGAAATGGGATTTTGAGTTGGTTCATAATAAATGGCGTATCAGTTTTCAAATTATTGTCACCAAATGTTATGGCCCTGTAATCAAATGGACGGCTTCAAAAGAGGAAGCACCGAAGAGACTGCATTCCAATCTGTCATATATAAAAGTAATATTAACTGGTTTCTTCAATTGTCTTTCGGTTGTGGATAATAAATTTCCACTAACTAATCAAACTGTTAAAGAATATTATTACAGTGTGTTGATGTATTGACATGAAGCAATTTTTAAAAAAACGACATAAATTGTGCGAGATGACTCATGAAATTTTAGCAACAGTAATGCACTTGCTTATAATGCTCTTGTTCATGAACTTTTGGCCAGAAGTTCAACAAATACGGCTCCGCATACCTAATATGACACCGTATGAGGTTTCGCTTCTGTGGTTAAAACTGTTGTTTCACAGTCATTGTTTTGAGTCTACTGATGGATTAAAATAATTCACTACGAAATTTCAAGAAGTTTCTCGAAAATGAATTTAGAGCATGTTTCGAGAATTGAGGGAAATGTTACCGTAATTGCATTGCAGTCGCAGGGAAGCAATTTGAAGGGTAATGTATTATTGACCAATGAACTGGAAACTTGAATTTATGGAATCATTCCATTATTTTTTTAATCACAATAGTAATTTTTTAGTTAGCCAGAAATTGAGTTCTGATCTCTTACATTAACAGAATTATTTTTTCGGGTCACTTATTTTTGTGTTACAAGAACATTACGCTTGCTTCTCCCCTTCCTACACTATCACAACATCTTCAACACTATTTCATTAAAATTGTTCCTAGATGAAATGGAAACTGTATTGATAACTTTTATGTCTCACTTTCAACAGCTTCGTTTTCTCAATTTCTATAAACAAGTTTAGTCTTTCAAATATTGCAGTTCGGGAAATAATCCAACATCCAGTCTTCAGTCTCTGCTCCAAAAAATGTAGTACAGAAGATTTAATCATGCCAAAACATCTTCACTCTCTATATCAAAGTTATCTCTTAATATGCGCTGAGAAGCATTTCATTTTACTTTTCAACAAATGGCCAATAGTATGAGTCAGCGACGACAGCAGAAATAACTTATTTTAATACTTTTAGTCTGTTCAAATTTTTTTGGACTTGAAATTTAACAGAGAAATTCATAATTATAAAATTACAGTAAATACGTTTCCTTTTATACACTTCTGTCGTAAAATAAAAATAATATTGAAATATGAAAACATACCGCAATATGTCCAGCCCCTCCAGCAGCAGCAGTAACGAGAACAGTATCCGCTTCAGTAATGCGGGCTGCCTGAAAAATTAAACATGATTATGACCATTATCCTCAAATTTTTGTCAATTATTCTGTAAAACTTTAGAAATGGTTTCTGTGAAATCCATTTGTCAAGTTTCGTATTTAATAACAGATCCTGGTTATTAATAAAAATGCATTTAACTAACACTTAGTATAACCTATAAAATGATTCATTTCACAGTAATCCTAATACAGAACAATTCTGTTAAGAAGAGAATTCTGGCAGAGCATAGCTGAATTTCCACACGTATTGCTGAAGCAATATTCTAATGTAATCAAATTTTACTCTTTGCTTTAAATGTTTCATTTAATGTAGCCTTAGTAAACGAATAGTTTTCAATTATATAAGAATTAGCCGTATCACAGCTTTTAAAAAATTGTGCCGATATTTAATTTCAATCGAAAACTTTCAATTCATCTTCAAAATTAAATCTTTGTAGAAAATATATGTATGTAGATATATTGGAGCACAGATGAGCTATCTGCGTCAAGCAAGGATGGCTGCTTGAGGAAATTTTTAGCTGTTTGAGGATTGCGGTCCCCCAATTTTCCTGGCCACAAAATGCACTGCTGGAATATTGCCAAGGACGAACCCTATCACCTATAGCAGTGATGGCGAACCTATGGCACAGAGAGCCTCATCAACTGGCACTCGACTAAAATATCCTTAATCAATAATCATAATAAAATACTATGTAATTTAAATAAGTGTTTTAGTCTGTTCTTGAAAGTTTCACTTACTTACTTATCACATAATGCCACTGACATAGGGCCTAAGCCTAGATATAAAATTTTCATACATCGCCATAGAAATGATATAGATATTTATTTACAAAATTTATGACGTTTCAATTGTTTGGGCCAATCATATTACTTGTTACATGGCAAAGAATACGCCAAAGTTGAAGCAGCTAATATTTGCCAAACGAATTCAAATTTATTCCAGACTGTCGGTGAGTTTTATTACTTTCATTGTTAAATAAATCCCACTTTTCAGATCTAAGTATTTTGAGGTAACCTATGAATAATTCTACTTTAATATCTAAAGCGGGATGTACAAATATAATGTAAAAACATGCAGTTTGATAATATAGCAAAACACGAAAGCTTTGTATGGAAACCAAGCTTATTCACATGTGTTCAGCCGAAATAAGCCCAATAAAGCAGGAAAGGAACATATGGAATTTAAAGTTAGAAGTTTAGCAAAGAGATGTCCGGGTTAACGGTTACTACTGTCCCGGTCTTGAACGGTCTAGAACCCTCACAAACGATATTCCAGCAAAAAAAGGCAAAATTAAACATTGATAGTGGAAAATCATTTCAAGAGACCTGGACAGAATAATTTGGAGTTATTGAACACAATAGGAAAGCATTATGCACTCTGTGGGGGGAAAGTGCTGTGTGTCGCACATCTAGTGTCAGATGGCACTTTAACACCAACAACAAGATTGTTCCCGAACTTCATGAAGCTGAACGGAAAGTATTTATTGAAGGGAAATTGAGGAATTATAATTACCACAAAGTTGGTTTTTGCAATTATCATTCTAAAAAAAAACCTTCTAACAACGTTCAGCTTTCAAATTTCACCGTGCCTGGCAAAACATGGTAAACCGCTCTGCGATAGGGATTTAATCAAAGAGGTTTTGGGCACCCCCGCACGCGGTTCCACAAAGGATCGGCACTACTGACCTATAGGAATCACAGAATGAAAGGAAACAAAATATGGAAAATTAGAATAAGTGCTGTATACAGTAAGAAGAGATGTGCGTACGCAAATTTTCATTTTCTCGCTTGTTTCTCAAGTGATACAACTGGTTTAAAGGATTTGACGCGTGCGGACAGTTGTAGCAATTAAAAGTTTTACGGGAAGGATTTAGATGCCGATCTTGAAAGTTTTGCTATGTCTTCCCGACGTCACTTGGATGATTTTATGCGTAGCTGTATCACTGGAAAGATCGAAGAACGGCGAAATATAACACATGTTGCCTGGGAGTTCAACATCGCCCAAACCGTTTTTCACGGCTTTAGAAAGCATTTTAAACAAGAGAAACTTGCAGCAGGATTTTAGGGGAAGTCGTGCTAGATGTATGATGCCTGCAGGAGACAGGTTCATTTCATTATCCGCAAAAAGAAAATATCGCACTAAAGCTCAGCAGTTGTGGCCAATTGTTTGGGGAGTTTCTTTCTGCGACAGGACAACGGATCTTCGTAAGAGCTGTAGCCAGACTGCTGGGTGAAAAAGATCTATACATCCGCATATCTACTGTGTGTGTCCCCTTGTCCAGACAGCACTGTACCACCCGTCTGCGAAAGTGTCGCAAAGACATTGTTTTGTACCTGAGAAAAACTGGAACATGGGAGTCTTTCGTACAAAATTCCCACATATCTGTTTATAGGTGTATTGTTGTGGATCAACCGCCTGTCACTGACTATCCCAGATTACGTACAAAGTCGGAGTTTGGTAATGCTCATGGGAATTTTCTCAAGCCTGTCAAGATTATAACCAGCAAACAATCGAAGGGTTGTCGCCATTACAGAGGCGCTCTGAAAATTTCAGGCAAATAAGAACGCAGAAAGTCTTCCTGACACACCCAGGAAATCTTGAACAAAAAACAATAAATACAGTTCCAAAGAGGTAATTAGTTTTAGTGAAAAAATGAGAAAATCTTTGTGTTTTCAGCGCTGCCAAAAGCAAATGTTTTTCTGTTCTCTCTGTCAAGAGCATTCTTATCTCTCTGCGGAGAGATCCAATAACCGGTAGCCGGATTTTCCTCTACCTAATTTGAGCAAATTTCTTAGACGCCAGCTGCGGCCAGAACAGGCAACAAGGATGTTTGCTTTACACAAACTTCGAACTGCATTGATCAATTAAACCTAACTTTCCAAAAAGAAAAGGCCTCGCCAGTAGCCGAGTGGTTAAGGATTGGTTAAATGATTTGATCTTGGAACACAAATTTACACCACTTGTGAGCTAAACGGATCATATGTTAAGGACTAAATAATTTAATTCAACATTTCGTTATTTTAGAATTGAGATTTATTTAATTAAAAAATACAAACGGTTTACTTTATCCAAACCAATGGAAGCTGTGAGCCCGCTTACTAAGAGGACTACGTAGTCAGGTTTAGCTTCTGGTATGGGAAATACTCCAGCTGCTGGTACGCACTGAAAAACAAAGCATAAACCGAATTATTTTATGATCTCAAAAGTAATAGCAGTAAAGAATTACATAACAGAAATTACATAAGAAATAGGATCTTAATATTAAAAGTCTGCTGAATAATACAAAGTTTATACACATTAGATAAAAGTAAAACCAAAAATCTGTTATTAATATTAATAGAAAATATTGATAAATATAATTCAAGTTCTAAACTTTATTACAAACAAATGTTTATTCATGCCAAGTATTCAAAAACACGCCATTCACGGTTAAGCCCCTGATAAGCCTTCAACTTGCAAGTCGTCAAAGTAAAGCATTCCATGAACTTTTAGAAGGAGCTTTTATAAGACAGAGTTAATTTTTAAGCTGAATACAGTACAGTGACATTTAGTAAATTGCCTTGCAGCCCACCCCATTCTTGAATAAACAATTCCTAGAGTACAGAGCCAATATTCATGGAAAACTTTCCATCTTGTAACCAGTGTTTGATGAATATCGGCAGTTTTCCCGTAAACCACTATTGTAATCGCGAAGGATGCCGTACTTCTATGTGGTGTCATAGAACATTAAAAACATTAAAAAAATAATAATATTAAAAAAAATCTGAAAGGTTTCACATTTTAAATTACGTCCAAAGGAGCGTTTTTTAACATTTTGCGTGTTACCTTTTATTTATTAAATATCATGTTCTTTGCACTTAAACCATAAAAACTGAGTTCAATAGCAATGTCGCAAAATAATTTTAAAATGAGCATATGTTTAGAATTTCCGATACACAGTTCCGCGCATTGGAGATAAAAAGGTTTTTTCCACCGTAGAGTATTACCATTGCTCGCTTTGAAATCCTTGAGCTTGTTAATCAAAAATTCGTTAAGGTTTTACAAAATATGAAATCGATAATAAAACAAATTCCAAATTTCAAATTTGGGCTTCCACATGCTCATATTCGCAGTAGGATTACATCATTCAAAAGTCGATGGCTCTATGTACCGTTATTTTATCACAATGCGAGAAATAGACATACATTTATGACGATTTTTCATTATTTAATTTCTTTAAATATAATGCAGGACTCTAACATTTTCTGGCAACAGTTTGAAAAGGGAGACGAACATTTATAGTGAACCAACGCTAAATCGCAAAACGAAAACAATAGTCCTTCAGGAACAAAGCCCCTTTGGACTAAAAATGAAATTGATTTCTTTTTACGAGTGCTTTTCGTATACCAGTTGCTAAGAGTAGAATATAGAATCAATAGTTACCCATCCTTTTGTAAGTCTACTTTGATAAGAAGAGATGCAATTATTCATCTCTAAATTGTAGACCAGGAAAATGTTGTTCATTTTTTCGAGCAGCTTGAAAAGACAGTTATAGCGATGGGGAGATAACTAAAAAGATTCGAAGGGTCTTTCCCTGGTTTGGCAATTGGAACAACAAAAATTTTTCACCATGCAATGGGAAATAATGCTCTTTCCATACTTTGTTGAAAAGAAAGGAGGGCCTCCAATGACTTGCAAGGGAGGTGTTTTACACAGGATAACTAATGGCGTCAGGACCAAGACAATCTTCTTGTCTGAGACAAAGATCTTTTCTACTTCAGTATCTTGATTATCAAGTTTAGGAGTGGGAGAGTTGAAATTAATGGGCAGTTTTTCAAAGAGTACCTTTGCAAAAAGGAATACAGGATTATAATTACTGCTATTTGAAACAGCTGAAAAAGTCTCTCCAATGGTATTAGCCATTCCTCGGGACGCCTTCAAAGAATTATGTGAACACACTAACAAAGCGCTCGCCCATATTTGTCATTTGTAGGAAAGAAGAGGATTTATACATCAGATAAAGTCTCGAAGAGCAGAAATCCTGAAAAGCTTTTATATGCTTTTTGGCTCGCCATATGAGGACACAAAATGCTCACAGACGAGGAATAATGATATATTTTCTAGTACACCAGTGACGACTAAGAACTTCAGGCATTTGACGCTTTTATTATACAGGACAGATGTGCATCTTCTCTTAACAGTTCCAGAATTTTTCCATGTGATTTGGAGAAGAAAACAGAAAAGATTCCGGCCCGATCGCCCTATCCACCATGCAGCAGAATAAGAGAACACAGATTCCCGTGTTAGGGTTAGCCGGACCTATAACCTTGTAGGGTTTATATTTATTTTAACTAACATTTATTTTAAGTTTAAACTATCTTTCCTGTCAAGCCTTACTTTCCCCTGGAATTGCCAATGCCAGAGTATGTAAATTTTAAGTAAACGCAAAGTATTCAAATTGCCAGCGGAAGTAATTTGAGTTAAATAGAAGGGAAACGAGATTGTAAGCTTCTTGAATTCACGAGCGTGAAGGTTGCTTAGTAGAAAGTTTAAGAACCATGCGTTTCGGCCTGTGTGCGTATTTCGACAGTTCGTTGAATCTTTCAAATTCTGAATCAGAAAGTTTGCTGAATCTCAGCAGGTATCTTAGAACATGGTTTAGTTACGATTATAGAGCCTCGTAGGTAGTGACTTCTTTGTTTATTCATCCTGTCATTTAGTTTTTAGTTGAATTTTTGTCTATTTTGTTCAATCGCCGGGTCAGGCGTAGTTTGTGAGTGTCAAGTGAACGCAGCTGTGATTTCTAAAGCGAAATAAAAAGGGAGTTAAACCCTTCTTAAGAGTTTTGTGTACTTTCCAGTTCATAGCAGTCACTATTATTGTTGCGTGTAAGTTGGCGCCGCGCAACACCACAACCTGACTGAAGGACCACAATCAGCTTTCCTCAAAGCGGAAACATTTGGAAGCTTATCCCCAAGCCATTGACAAGAAGGAAAAGTAACCAGCTGATTGACACTAGCAAGGACAGTTAAGTGGGCTGAAGCAGAGGCCAAAGCAGCGTGTTAGAGACCTCGCCCATCAACTAACAGGCTCCTTCCTTGCAGCCGTACGGGTCTCCATGCGCGGCAAACGCATAGGCAGTTATCTCACCACGGTGAAACAGAAACTGCACTAAAGAGTGTACCCCATCCACTGTAAGAGGAAATCACAAGGGGAAAATGTAGGAAGAAGTGAAAGATAAGAGGAAAAGGAAAAGAAGAAAAGTCACTGGGGCTCCAGAATTGTGAGACCCGATCACCAAGAAAGTAATCCCCTGAAGGGTCTACGTCTACTATACTTCCAGCTGGACATATTGTTATGGCCATGTGTATGTTGGCTTTGCCAGGAGCTAGGCTCCCTACGTACTTCGCCCATTCAGGCCAATGAATCCCTCCTCGCCGCGGTGAGGCAACAAAGCAGCACTTGGGAGGCGCCGAACTAATACAGAGGAAGCCATTTCGAATCAGTTTTTACAGGTAATCTACGGTTAGTCTTATTTTTATAAAAAGAATAGGAAATAATTATTTTTTCACTTGTTATTTTTTAAATTGCTAAACTGGATAAAACTAAAATAGTTCAAGTGACCTATATTTGAAATCGCCCTAAATTTATTCGCCGTTTCAAAATAAAAACTAATATTTCTCTACAGCCATTGTATTAAACAGCACTAAAGACATTTTTACTGTTCTTCTTCTTTTTTTTTTTTTTTTTTTTTTTAAATAAGAAATTATTTTTGGATATCTTCTTGTTTTTTGTAAGAGCGAAATGACAAAGTTATTATCTGAAATAGGGAGTTAACTCTCCCCCATTTCCGCTCCAATGAGTGAAGTGAAATTTCTTTTAATTTTAAAACAGTAATGTTAATATTTGTTAAAAACACATAAATATATTTTCATATAATTTGAACTGCATGCTGTGACAGGTACATTGAACAATTACTCTGTAAATGCAAAAATACGCGCCATAATTATCAGTATGTATTATACTTCTCCCTCCTCGCTTACTTTCCTCCTTATCATTTTCTAATACATGATTTAGAAATTTCGGATTTATAGAACAGTAAAAACTTCATGTTTAAACATCTCAGGAATGACATAGATTTTAAAAAGAGAAATAATACCTGCAGATGTAGAAACGTCTGGACACAAGTAAGTCTATATTCAATCTTATCCCTTTATATTTCTTGTTCTTTAAAAAGTAAACAAACATCAGGGAAGTCAAATCCAAAATCCATTTGGAACTTCTCTTTACAGTCATTAGTTCGATTGACCAGAACATTCCCCTAGGAGCTTAGCTTTTCCTTATAGGAATAGAAACCCGTTAATTGTAAATTCATGCTAATAGTGGTACAGGAGAAATTCATGCTATAGTGGTACAGGAGACAAATACCGTTTATTATGAAACACTATTTTATAGAAAGGCGCATAGTCTTTTACCTAATGCTGCTGAAAGGCTATTTACATTAAAGAATAGGCATTTTAAAGCACTTTCTCTCGATTCCAGGAAAAATATTTTCATTTTTTCACCATCTTAATTGTACTTAACATACATAAGTTACTGACAATACTCCAAAAATATTGCTGCGAACAGAATCCCTTCCGTCTAATAAAAGATTAAACATTTTAAAGTGAAATTAGCAATTTTTATTTATGAATGTCAGTTTACAAATCTCTAGCTCTGTTATTAGCTAATGAAGAATCTGTATATATATGTGCACGTTGCTCGCACTGTGGAAAATAGGTTAAAGATAGAGCCAAAAATATTTGAACTCATGTAATCCATTATAATAATATGTGCACTTCGGAACCAGAATTTTGAATTTGTTTCTTATTTATTTCATATTTTGTACGAATTTAAAGAATTTTTGATTTACAAACCCACCGATTTAAAAGCGAGCAATGGCAATATAGCTCGAAACGAAACATTTTTATCTCCCGTTCGCCAGACTGTTGCCATTCGGCAAAATGTCAGCTATTTATCTTGTATTTATTTATCACAATTTAATCAACAAATTCGGTTATTTTAAATAACCGAATTTGCTTTTAAAGCAATGTGATTGCCATCGGTTGACGTCAAGTACTCTTATCTTCCACGCGCCAGAGAGTTCCCGCTGCCTAAAACACAAGATATTTAACTTTGAGATTTAATCTGTGTTATTGATTAACAAACTAAGCGTTTTGAAAGTAGTTTATAAAAATATATCTTTAATAGAACTGATTTAAATAAAAAAATATTTAAATCATGAGATGTTTAATCAGAAATATTATATACTTTTATTAAGTTAATCATTAACAATAATTGTATATTTGTTCTTCTTTCTATAATTATAAGGACTAATACTAAAAAAACAGCTTAATTTTATGTACATTGTTAGCTGAATTTAACATCGCGCTTGAGTTCAGCTAGTGAATGTACAGCACTTACTTTAAAATTTGACAAATATGGCGGAAAAATTTATTCATACTTGTTACAACAAAACTATGTGAATAAATAAAGTAAAATATTTAATCGCATAATTGCAGAGAAAATTCGTCTAAATGAAAAAGTTCGTTAAGCAAATGTTTGCGGGAAGGCCCAGGGGTCACCATTGTATCAGTTAAGTGTTAATCAGTCTATCGTAGCTTTCTTTTGGTCTAACCTTGCTTTCCTTTAGAGAGCAATGACAGACTTGTTAATTTTTTGTTGAAGTTTGTAAACTTTATAATTTTTTTATTGATGTAAGTAGAAAATTATTTTTCTTTTTCATGTGCAACTATATATTTGATATTAATAGTTAAATATTTCATATATTATGAATTTAAGTAATTATCTTCATTTAAAATATATAGCTTACAAGATATTCAGCATATGCTCCAAGCTTTGAAGACATATATGCAACATTCTGTCCAATTTTGAAATTTTCCACTTCCTCTCCCACTTCGACAACTTCTCCAACGCCCTAGATAAATGTAACAGAATTAAACACACACACACACACACACACACACACAAAAAAGAAAAAAAAAAAAAAAAAAAAGAATAAAATCGCAGATACAAATGAAACATGTTATAGGATAAAATCAGTCATTTGGATATACAAAAGAATTTTAAAAGAGCTGCAATTAAATCAAGGAACATTTACCGCTGTGTGTGCCCAACACGTCTTGCATTATTCAAATGTAAATGCTTTATTTCTTAAATTATGTTCCTATTACAGCTCTAATTCTTCAAATACTGTTATACATATATCTCGCTACGTTACAAATGGTATTTAATCTGTTTAAAAATATGTCTATTCCAGAAGATTTACTTATAAATAGACTATCTCCAGAAGACTTGCATATAACCATTCGACGAATGTACTGAATTTCCTGGAAAATAAACAAGAAGTTGAATGGATGCCCGGTTTCCATTGGTTACGAAAGAGATGAAGAGCTAGAGATTTTGTAAATTTTTTTTCACATGTGCGTAATGCAAAATCAGTGTTTGTTTCATTCAAAGAGCACTAAGCGTTGAACACTGTCGACATCAAGCAAATCATGAGACCCACTACACCTTTACATATTACTACACCTTTACAAGTTCCTCTGATGGGGGGGGGTGTGAATTTCTGAAGCGGCTGCAATAAAAACACATAAAGCATTCGGTGGAAGAGTACCTAATGAATAAACAACCCAGCGAACTTCGCTGATGTGCTTTCCTACAAAATCCTGAAGCCAAGACAAGTTTCTACGTCCATTCGCCGCACACCTACTACAAACAAGTCACGCCATCCAAATATATATATAAGAGTGCAGTTTCCCTCCTACGGATGCCGGATTTAATTAACTCTATTTTTCGTTAATTAATGCACTGCAACTAACCTCAGAAGTGTTTAAGATGAACTGTGTGTATTTTTACGAGCATTTTAAAGGGTCATTCTCTCGACTTCGGACAAATCATGCAATTTTAAGACTGTTTATTCCCTTACTCTTGAGTTTTGACATACTGAACTTCACAATGCCACCGCTCAGCCAGGCAATCTCCGGCCTCCTGAAAAGTCGCACCCATTTCATTGCTCTTCTTTAAAGAACTTTTATTCACCATATAAATAGTGTACACAACGAAGCTATTTTACGCAGCCCGGAGTATATTTCAGTTAGCATGTGCTTGTTATATATGTAGTGCTTACTGTCTTAGGAACGTCTCAGAGGTACGAATTGAGCTTATGTGCTCGATTGCTATTGAAGGAAAAATGGAATGAATAAGTTGGAGGGCTTTGCCACTCTATGTTTGTATGCCAGTTGATATTTATTGTATTGTATGCCTAAATACGTGAAGGTCAAAGTGGGAACTTTCCATGTCGGTACAGTCAGTAAATTTAGTTTACCAGCCGACAACTAATAGCGCTACATTATTCTGGAGTTTCTCCCCCTCATTGATTTGGTTACTTCCAATATATACTTTTCTTGAGGCTACTACTTGGTCGGATGGATGCATAGTTGCGCGATGCAGATGAATTCACGTATAGTTTATGAAACCTCTTTATTTGTGCTTGTTGTAGATCTAAATTATATCATAACTCATTGTTTAGAATTGTGCGCAATTTTTTAGTATTGTTTTCAAACGAAGAAAGGTCCGGTGGTGCAGTGGCTAGCGCATCGCACAGCTGCATCACAAGTCCGGGGTTCGATCCCCGGGCTGGGCAAGGTTGACACAGCCTTTTAGCCCTTGAGTGGGTCGATAAAATGAGTATCAAGTTCGCTTGGGGACTAAACACCGGGGGTCCTGCGACAAGCTGACCACTTGCCAAGGGCATATGCTGACGTACCCCTTGTCCCAAGGTCAAGAAAGCAGATTTCGGGGCACTGAACGCCGTGGTCCACTAGGGCTGTTGCGCCACTGAGTTTAGTGTTTTTCATACGAAAAATCGTCTTGTTGAAGCAAATTCGCAAACAAAATTATAACAGTGATTTTAATTTAGAGATCAGAAATTAAATGTCAGGCAGAAAATAAATACAATGGTACCTCGGCATACGAGTTTAATTCATTCGGTAACCTTGCTCGTATGTCAAATTGCTCGTATCTCAAAGCAATTTTCCCCATTGAAATTAATTGAAATGCCATTGATCCGTTCCAGCTCCCGTAACACCACCTCAGTTGTTTTGTTGTTTTTGAATAAGAAAAATGTATTTATAAATAAAAAATACATATTCTATAAAACATAATTAAAAGAAAAAGTAAAGTGCTTACGGAAGCGCTTAATTTTCGTCACTGGTCTTAGCTTTTTCGTCACGCTTCTTTGCTCATTTTCACCTGCAGATCGTTTAAAAAAACTGTCCAAGGAGATTTGTTTCTTCCTCCCTTTCAGGATATTGCGGAAATGAGTTAGGCAAGTTTCGTGAACAACTCCGAAGCACGACCAGTTGCGACTTTTTCCGAATGATTTTTATCCACGAACTCTACAACTTTCTCCCACATTCCCAAGATCTCCTTTATATCTCTTGTAGGAATAACCTCCTGCATCTCTGGCTCCTCTTCAAAACTAATTTTTCGTTGAACCACCGTATGCTGCTGCGAATGTAGATCGTGTAACTCCTCGGTTGTCAGCTCCTGAGACTGTTCTTCGACGAGTTCGTTCGCATCTCTCTCATCCACCTCCAGACCCATGGATTTTCCCAAAGAAACAAGTCTAGTCTGAGGTGGGAGAAACCGTGAGACGCTGCACACGACACAAACATGCGCGCGCATGTTGCGGTCGTGTGCAGCGGTGTAGTATGCGATTCCTCGCATCTCAAATCTTGCTCTCATCTCAAAGCAAAATATCGCTCGCTCGGCGGCTCGTATCTGAAAACTCTCGTATATTAGGCACTCGGATATCGAGGTATCACTGTACAAATTTGAATGTTTTCTTTTCCGTTGTTCTTTATGTATATTTTGATGAATATTTATTGAGTAGACTTTAAAATTCGGTCAACAATATTTTTAATCTGTTAAAACAAATTTTGGTCTCTCAGTTGTTTTCAGATCATGCATTGACTACTTGCAATCAGCAGGTGAAAACAGATATGGCGTCCTATTGTTCCAGGATAACGTCCAATCACATACGGCAAGGTCAATCCTACACTCTTTTACGAAAAAAAAATCGAAGCACCATGAAAGACTTTGGCGATCGTGACGAAATTTGGTATGCAAAAACATCTTGATCGAACATACAAATGATCAAAGTTTCAAGGCAAATGAACAGGAATTGCGATCATAGCGCGCATTTCTACTGCGCAATTCGCAAAGTATAAAAGCAGTAACAGAAGCGTAAAATTTATCTTTTCTTGTTGCTGCCATTGTAATTCCGTAAAGAAGCAACTAAAGATACGACGATATTGAAGACCTTACAAACAACTAAACGACTTCGAATTGCAGCATTGTAGGGTTGCGTGAAGGTGGGTGGTCATACCGAGCAACAGCCCACCACCTGCAGCGTACAGACACTGCTGTACAAAGATGTTGGCAGCAATGGTTGCTACAAAGAAATTGACGATGAAATGAAGTCTCTGGAAGGCCAAGGAGCACAAAGGCGAGGCAAGGTAGGATGATTGTTCGCCAGGCCAAAACCACCCCAATGGTATCATTGTCGACTATTCAACGCACTACAGCCACGTCTATACCTCCTGTGGTACCGTCCACTACCTCACGGCGCTTGTCTGAAGCGAGGCTACGCTCACAGAGGACTTTAAGACGCTTTCCTTTGACCCCACAACATCGGCAGAGTCGTCTAGAGTGGTGTTGCAGCCGATCAGCATGGCTGTCATCAGACTTTCTTTCTTTTACCGACAGCGAGGCAGCCGGTCCACTGGGTAGTTAGCATATCGGCCAGGTAGCCCCGCTGACGGAAATAACTTGATCAAAATAACACACTTATAAATACATATTGTGCTCAAGACGACTGCTGGGGGCAGTGCAAACAAATGCTGGACGAAGACGTTAGTGCAGCGATGGAAGAAGGGTGCATTGCGGGTGAGAACAATTTCAGTTACATATTTACAGAGTAATGGATAGGTGGTTACAAATACTAAAAGTAATAAGAAGTAAAATACTAGAAAGTGAAATAATACATAAAATAAAAAAGGCAAAACAGTGAAAATAATACATAAAATAAGGCAAAATACACAATTCAAGGTTTACAGTTCAAGGAGATAAATATGTACAGGGAATAAGATAAGCCGAATAAGCTAACTTAAGATAAAATTAGTTCACTAAAGGTACAGAGCATACAGGGGCTGTGCTGGTGACGAGGATGGTAGCTGAGAATTACTCCAGCCTGTCTGAGATTTTGCGTGCAATATTTATGCAATCACATATGCGTTTCAATGCATTGCGATTTTTTGAAGTAGCTTCGGCCCATGCATGGATGTGGTTTGCTACTGTTTGCCTAAGATGATATTTGGCGGTCTCTCTGCAAGCGAACAGATAGTGGTCCGGATCTCCTACCATCCCGCATGAGCAATGCTCGTTTTTGCGTCGTCTGAAGCGATGCAGGTAAGTTGTGAAGGGACCATGTCCTGTTAGATACTGAGTGAAGTGAGACGAGCCAGATTTTAGAAGCCGGCAGACTTTTGGAAAAAATCTGTAAACTCTTCTGCCGGTTATCTCTGTCTCCCACAGATGTTGCCAACGTTTGAGTAATTCTCTCTCGATCTCAGCTTTTAAGAACGAACCCGGGAGAGGCACATCAAGTGTGCGAACGTGGGGGGTCAGTTGCTGCTCTTTTGGCTATTGCATCTGCAATTTCATTACCCAGTATTCCAGTGTGGGCAGGTACCCACTGGAGTTCAGGCCTATAGTAATTAGGTGTTCTTAGTAAGAGTTTTTGTATGGCCCTGACGAGTGGAGTTTTACTACATGTGCCTTGGATTGCCTGGAGGCTAGAGGCTGAGTCTGAATATATACTGGAATGGTTATTTTTCAGTACGTAGACAAGTG